GAGCGGCACGAATCGTCGACTTCCGAGTTCTTTATGAGAAGAGAAGAGATGATGTAAAAAATAAAAATATAAATTTCTTCGCAACCGTCCGCTAAATAAATACAATGATGTGTAGCTAGTAAGTCAGGACTTAGCGGTCAGCCGCCGTAGAGTCTACATTACCTGAGGATTCCTCGTGTAGAGGCGAAACACGTGTCGTATTATCGTCGATGGTGTGTCTTACCTGGAATAGTGGTGTTGGGAGTAGTGGTGCTGGGTCTAGTGGTGACGGAGTTAGTGCATGCAATTGAGGGAGGGCGGGAGGTGCTCTTCAATCCAGGTAAGACACGTCATTGTAGTTATTTAGCGGAAGGTTGCGAAGAAATTTATATTTTTATTTTTTATTATAATGGATTTCTGCAAAGTAACGCCTGATTCTATCAATTATAAGAGATAATGTGCCTTTGCATATTATTCTATCGCATCTACCTCGGGAGTGCTCAGAGAAATTGTTCGGACAAAACCCAGCCGCTAAATTTCACCATCGCACACCGCGTAACGTGTTACAGCCAGTTCAAAATAACTTAGGTACATAGGACTTATTACATCTAGTCAAGGTGAAGTCTGAGTAAGGTTCTATTGAAACAGTCTTATATCAACACCCAATTCAAACTGCGCTTTCAACGTTTTTAGGAGTAATCCGCACTCACCGACTGGATAATTTGCCATAAAAAAGGTTTGTCAAATAATTCAGAGACCTTTTTACCAGTTCACATACGATATGCTGTTGTTAGAAGCAGTACTTTTATGTTACTAGTGTGTTAACAAATAGCTCCACTAGGTAAGTCCAACATCGACCGAGAGGTCAATCGACGGATTCAACTCGGATGGGCAACGTTCGGGAGATTACGATACATCTTCTCATCAGATATACCTCAACACTTGAAAATGAGATTGTACAATCAGTGCGTGTTGACTTATGGATATGAGACGGTCCTTCACTGCTGGCCGTATGAGAAAGCTCCAGGGCGCTAAGCGAGCTATGGAGAGGGCTACTAAACATGGGATTCTTTGCATGATAGACTTAGAAATGAGTAGGTATATCTGGAGTAGAACCCAGAGTTACTGACATCACCCAACGGATTAGTGAGCTGAAGTGGCACTTGGCCGGTCATAATAGTTTGAAGAACCGATAATCGATGGAGACAAAAGGTTCTTGAGTGGCAGCCTCGTACCGCTAGCGAAGTGTAGGACTTCCCCCCAGTAGATAGACAGCCTGGTAAAACATGCAGGATTTGTGGTATAAATTGGGCTGGCCATATAGCTCGAAAAACCGATGGACAAAAACGGTTCTCGGCCACCCATGCAGGAAGTCGATGCATGTGGCTCAGGGCCGTGTTTTGTGGCAGTGCCAACTCCTTCCACTTGACCGCGTCCAGCGCAGAGCGATTCGAATCGTCGACGGCCAAGTTCTTTCTGATCGGCTCGATACACTGGCGCTGCGCATCCCTTTCAGTTTTTTATCGTATCTGCCACGGGAAGTGCTCTGAGGAATTATCCGGATTAGTTCCAGCCGCCAAGTTTCACGAACGCACATTCCAAATCGCAAATCAAAATTCGCGATACCATCCTCACCATCTGGATGCTTGGCGGTCCACCACAGTGCGTTTTTCTTCGCACAGTCGCCTTTTTCACACAACTTCTTTGTATATAATAGTTTACTACTGGCGATTTTGCCGAACTGTTACGACTTAGGGACCTTCAAAAAAAGAGCTGACTCCTTTCTAAAAGGCCGGATACGCACCTGCAAATCCCCTGGTGTTGCGGTTGTTCCCGGGCGACGGTAGTCATTACCATCAGATGAGCCGCGTGCTCGTTTTACCTTACTTCTGGTAAAAAAAAATCTTTATGGGAGGCCTATGTTCTCTGTCGTAAGAGGGAAAGAGAAAGGAAGGTGGGGTGAAATAAATCGTATACCATAAGAGGCAATCTATGGCAAAGATCTATGTTCAGAAGTGGACTTTTATAGGCTATAAATGTAAAGTGTCAGCCTTTACATCTGCTTTATTTATTGGTTAAATTAGGGAGCAAGAAAGTAGTCTTCGTGCTGCCATAATGCGTATTTTGTCGATACCATGATATCTAAATCTGTGATAAGAACCGATAGATGGAACTGTAGGAAAGGTATTTAGTACAAAATTCTATTATACTGGTGATTTATTTTTACCGTCAGTGTAACAAGTGAACGGAATAGAAGCCTATGGCACTGATATTTTTCAATTATTTTTCTTTTACATTAACATATTACGAAATTGATATATCAATAAATACTACTAATAGTTTTTTTGTAATTGATTTACTTATTAAGTTCATTTTTTTAGTATGTACCGAAAGTTTATTTCTAATTAGTAGTATTTATTGATATATTAATTTAAAAGAAAAAAGTAAAAGAAAATTGTAAAATATCAGTGCCGTAGGCTTCTATTCCATTCACCTGTAATCCCAATTTTTTTCAAATGTTAAAAATATCATGCAGTATATTCAAGAACGAAAATTCCCTATATTCAAAGGTTATTTCTAAATTCCCCATATATCGTCTCGACAAAAAAATACAGCTATGCTGTAAGGTTTATTATAGTTCTACCACGAATAGGTTGGCGCGACCAGGGTACGAATATGTTCTTACAGACTACTGGCGTGAAATAGCAGCTTGATGCTGCTGTGGTCGCCGCTTATAAATTAGTAAAACCGTACAGAAGTCAATTATGTTATATAATTTTAGGAACGGTAAAAATTAAAACAAAAAGATTCGTATTATAAAATATATTATTACATAGATAAGGAACTGTCAATTGCAAAATAAAACTGCATAAACAATAAAAAAAGATGTTAGCGCTGCGCTGACTAGTATCTTCAGTCGATTACTGATCGATTAATGTGCTTCAGAGAATTTATTTCAGTGTGAACATTTTACATTCATTTGATTAATTAGTTTATTATTATACAAAATAATGTATAATCAACAGACCATACAAATTAAATAATTATTTAACTAATAATATTTGTACAAACAAACAAAATCACTTCAAGCTTACTTCTAAACACTTGTCAAAACGATATAAATAGAAGGTGTAATAATTAAAAATCTTAACCTCAATTTTAGGCCATAGGATTCAATACAATTTAATTGTATAATAATAATGCCTCCAGACCGAATTTCGGTCACAGCCTCAACGGAGACTAGCCATCGGCGCAGGACAGGATTATAGTGCCCAAGTGTATGCGCAAGCACAGATGCACGCACTATTCCCTCAGTCTCATAATCCGATAGGAATGTAATAACTCGCGACCGAAGAGATCAAGTACAGGACTTACGTGCTTTACGTAGCTACTTTCTGATGCACGGGCTCACCGGCTACTTCCTGACTTCGCGCTGCTACTGACAATTTCTTCATAGACAATCTCAATAACTCATTTTAGCACGACCCGGGATTCGAACCCATGACCTCATGATCAGGAACCGTGTTCACGACCATTAGACCAACGAGGCAGTCAATTCAATGGTATGGACTGCAGAGCCAAGGTACATACAGTACCACTGAAATTATTAATTACAATTTTTAATGCTGATTTACTAAATGTTCGACGAAGGAAAACATTGCGAGGAAACCTGCATGTCTGAGCAATTATATACACATTGGGGATTGACTCTTTCTTATCCTTAAACCATGTACAATAAGAGATATGTACCAGCAATAGGATATACATTGTTAGTTTACTTTGAAATACCATCAAACAAAGAAATCAAAACTGCGATGATACAAGATCAGCAAAAGGTATTGTGTATTCATTTTCTCTTTATAAACCCGCGAATTATTCAACACGAACTAGAAACAAGGTTAGAACACATTGTAAGATCTATACAAACACTTTGTATACAAGCTTAGCATATAGCATGCTATATTAGTCGTTTACTACTAATTCTTTTATAATAAAAATAATATAGAGTAACTATATAACAATAAACACAATTGTCTAATAAAATTGTCTATTAAAAATTGCTTTCTTTATCTTCTACCTAGGAAGACCCTAGAGAGGAATGTCCAGGGTTGAAGAAAGAAAGAAAGAAAAAAAATATTCTATTCCTTTTTAAATGTATTGACCAAACACGGAATAAATTAATAATAAATCTCAGTTTCATTTCAATTATGTATTATTTTTCCTGATTAAATCTGCACTAGAGCAGAATAGAATCTAAATGCAGGGCAATACAAAGTTGCAATTTATAAATATAGGCATTATAACGCTAGAGATCTACCAAGGCAAGACAAAAAAAAATTATAAGATCATTCATACAGAAAACTTTTATGATCATTAATGATCTTGGGATACACCTGGGTTCTTGAGTAAATAATAACAATATATTTGTAAGTAACTTCACATTAAGTGCTAAGTTATTAAGTGACAGATCGCTGCATTAAATGCCAATGTGACAGTTATATAAAATATTTTATATAAAACTCAGTAAATAGACATTTATATATGTATAGTACATAAAGATTTCATAGAAATTCGTCTAAATTTGCATTTATACCTATTCAGAACATTCAAATATATTTAATCACTACACAAGAAATAGTGTCTGTTAAATATTTCAAATGTGCAAGATGATTAAAATGACAAAAAGTGCAAAATTTAATTTTTAGTGCTAAACAGTTATTTGGTTAAATCTACATTAAATTAAGTTTATTCTGGTACTCGCTGTTTCATTTACTGTTCATATTAAGATTACATTAGTTTAACGTATTTAGTTTGTATTCTTTCACATCAGATTCTTGATTCATTTACATTGCATCCGTCTCAATAATAAAAAAATACTGTTTGGCTATGTATAGTTTAACGGCATAAGCTATATTCAATTAATGTATATTCTAAAGGATAGTTTATCTAGGCTATCTGAACATATGCCTATGCCCACGCCCAATGAACATCCATTAAAAATTATTTGTGTTTTGATATGATTACTTATCTTTGGGGTCTGATTTCTTTTCGTCGTCCTTGAACAGGAGGGGCGTCATGCCAAGGAAGCAGCCCAGCGTGATACCAAGTACTCGGCCCTGATTGGAGTACAAAAAATTATTCAAGAGAAGGGAGAAGTATTTTGTACGTGGTAGAGCCACGCTGCAGCTATATTATGGTTCTAGCACGAATGGGTCGGCTCGACCGGAGAAAGGGACGCTCTCTCACAGAATACCACGTAAAATAGTAGCTTAATGATGCTGTTTCGTTAGGTGAGTGTAGAGAACCGGAGACTCTTTTTACTGGAAACGAGGCATTCCATCTCAGTCCTCACGGGTGACAACGCATCTGCATTTTGATTCTTAATTGAGGATAGATGTAGATGTCTATGGGCCACAGCAACCACTTACCATCAGGTGAACTGTGTGCTCGTTTCTCACTCTATCCTACAAAATAAAATAAATTTACAATCACGTTGACAAAGTGCGCACATAAAAATAATGACATCGTTTTTTAAGTCAAGAAAACAAATTTACTCAATGTATGAGTACCGTAGTGACCATCTAGTGGTACATGTAGAAGTGATTACTTTCTGTATGAAAATGGTTGGTTGTCAGTTACCACGTTGGCGAAGCGCCTGCTGATGGGCATGTCGAGCTGCACCGGCGAGAGCGCGGGAGCTCCGAGACCGACCAGTGAAGCCGCTCGCTCCACGTAGTACGAGGAGCCGATGCCAATCACGTCGCTGAACGTGTTGCCCAGCGCAGCCGCTGCCATTGTCGACAGCGTGATGTATGCGCTCATGCTGCTTTCTATGCTGTCGCCCTGCCACACGTTTATTGTTTAAAACAAATATCCCCCACAGCATACGTAACGACAAGTCTTGGCCATATAATTAATCTCATTGAAAGGATCATGGATCCACACCATTATCACACCACATAACTGTGGAATGTTGCAGAAATAAAATAAAAAACTTAAAAGAACTACGTAAAACCCGACTTCAAGGAACTAATAAGAATAAAATAATTCCCACATAATCTATGTGTAGAGCCGTGGTAGCTCAGATGGTTAACGCTCGCTGTAAATATTACAGAACACGAGTAACCCGGGTTCGATCCCCGACGGCATCAATGAAATAGTCAATTGCAATTTTAAGTGCTGATTTTCCACGTGCTCGGCGGTGAAGGAAAACATCGTGAGGAAACCTGCATGTCTGAGGAATAAGAAAATAAAATTATTTCGAAGACATGTGAAGTTCGCCAACACGCATTGAGGCAGCGCGGCGGACACTTCCTTGCCCTAAAACCCTTTCAGAAGTGAGTGGAGGCCTGTGCCCAGCAGTGGGACGTATATAGGCTGTAACTTTACTTTTTTAACTTTAATCTATGTGTTAGGATCGTGTCAAATGGGAGACCAACCAGAGAGTTAACTGGCATGAGAGTTAATGTGAATGAAAGTTTTTACCGTCTGGAAAAAAATAGGGTGTACCATGTGAACGGAGTAGAAACCTATGGCACTGATATTTTACAAAAAATAAAAGCAAAAGTTTTGAATTATATAAATTAATTAAAATCTATCGAAATTCAAATCATATCCATTATCCACCCTACTTTACGAACGGCAATAAAACAATAAATTTAGTAGGCATCCTTGACCTTGTCACTTCTCGGGGTCACAGGCTCAAGGGCAAAGTAATTATTAAAAAAAATTGCAAACGTTTAATTCAAATTTTTTGTAAAATATCTGTGCTACAGGCTTCTTCTCCGTTCACATGTTACACCCTTTTTTTCCAGGCGGTAAAAAAGGTCATCCAGTATATGAATAATCTATTAGCTTCTAGATGAAGGCAACACAAAGCAAGTTCAATTAATATTTCAAATACGCAATTATATTTTTATACAAATAAGCACAGAGCACAAAAAATAAATAAAGCTTTAAAATATATAAAATTTTATAGCACTCGTATAAAAAAAAATTATATAGAAGAGGGGGACACGGCTTACCTGATGGTAAGTGATTACCGCCGCCCAGGAACAACTGCTACACCAGGGGAATTGCAGATGCGTTGCCGGCCCTTTAGAAAGGAGTAAGCTCTTTTCTTGAAGGTCCCTAGGTCGTATAGGTCTGGAAAAATCGCCGGTGATAAACTATTCCACAGGGAGGTCGTACGCGGAAGAAAACTCCTAGTGAAACGTACAGTGGTGGACCGCCAAGCATCCAGACGGTGTGGATGGTATCGGGACGTTCGCCGCGTAGAGCGTTCACGAAATTTGACGGCTTGGATTAATCCGAACAATTCTTCAGAGCACTCGCCGTGGTATATGCGAAAGAAAATGCAAAGTGATGCAACATATCTTCGCAGCGCCAGTGAATCGACCCGATCGGAAAGTACTCGGTCGTCGACGATTCGAGCCGCTCTGCGCTGGATGCGGTCAAGTGAAAGGAGCTGGCACTGGGGAGCCCCAGCCCAGAGATGGGAACAGTATTCCATGTGCGGCCGAACCTGCGCCTTGTAAAATTGCAGGCGGTGTGCCGGCATGAAATACTGTCCCGCTCTGCTGAGCACGCCAAGCTTTTTAGAGGCCAATTTGGCCATCTCTTCCAAGTGACCACGAAACTGCACGTAACTCGATATGTCGACGCCGAGGATTCCAATACTGGCTAAGACAACAAGGGGAGTGCCTTGAAACTGAGGAGATACAACGAAGGGGTTCTTTTTAGAGGTTAACGCGCAAACTTATGTCGTTTGGGGATTGAACTGGACTAGATTTAGTCGCCCCAGTCCGAGACTTTGTTTTGAGCAAAGTCTCGACTTCAGAAACAAGTTTGTCCCGGTACTCGGCGACGTTTTCCCGAGAAATATTGGCACAGCCGGTGTATAAAGCATCACCAGTGCTGTCATCCGCATAGCAATGAATGCTACCGGTTTGCAACATATCACTGATATGCAAAAGAAACAGCGTAGGTGATAGCACGCAGCCCTTTGGAACACCAGCGTTAATGGGCTTGTAATCGGAGCATGCACCGTCTATACGACCTTGATGCTCCAATCTGCAAGAAAACTGGTGATCCAAACTTCGTAAGAAGCGCTTTATGCCACCCGATCGAAGGCCTTCGCTATGTCTAAACTAATGGCCAACGCCTACCTCTTGGACTATACTGGCCTCCGCCTATCTATGACTTAGGTAACACAGAAGATCGCCAGCTGAGCGACGCCTACGGAAACCCTACTGGTGGTCACTAATCAGCTGGTGACCCTCAAGGTTTATTTTATAAAAGAGGGGGCAAACGAGCATACGGTTCACCTTATGTTAAGTGACTACCGCCGCCCATGAACAACCGCAACACCAGGGGAATTGCAGGTGCGTTGCCGGCCCTTTAGAAAGGAGTAAGCTCTTCTCTTGAAGGTCCCTAGGTCGTATCGGTCCGGAAAAATCGCCGGTGGCAAAACTATTCTACAGAGAAATCGTACGCGGAAGAAAACTAGTGAAACGTACAGTGCTGGACCGCCAAGCATCCAGATGGTGTGGATGGTATCGGGAGGTTTGCCGCGTAGTGCGTTCATGAAATTTGGAGGCTGGAATTAACCCGAACAATTCCTCAGAGCACTCCCCGTGGTATATGCGAAAGAAAATGCAAAGAGATGCAACATCTCTTCGCAGCGCCAGTGATTCGAGCCGATCGGAAAGCACTCGGTCGTCGACGATTCGAGCCGCTCTGCGCTGGATGCGGTCAAGTGGAAGGAGCTGGCACTGGCGAGCCCCAGGCTAGAGACGGGAACAGTATTCCATGTGCGGCCGAATCTGCGCCTAGTAAAGTTGCAGGCGGTGTGCCGGCATGAAATACTGTCCCACTCTACTGAGCACGTTAATGTTTTTAGAGGTCAATTGGGCCTTCTCTTCCAAGTTATCAGGAAACTGCACGTAACTCGATATGTCGATGCCGAGGATTCCGAAACTGGCTGAGGCAACAAGGGGAGTTCCTTGAAAATGAGGAGATACGACAAATCGGTTCTTATTAGCGGTTAACGCGCAAACTTGTGTATTCTGACGGTTAAACTGGACTAAACTGGTTAAAAACTCAAACAAAATCTCAATATTTGAACGACGCAGTCATTGTCAGTGTCAGTCAACCATTGTTTATAGAAGTGTTCACATAATATAATTATGAGCTACTGGTTGTTTCTTATGTTTTGTTATCACACGTTGCTACCACCTGTTTGCATTAAGAAAATGTCTCATAAAAACTAAGCTTTAAGATTAAGATTCTCCCATAAGCGAAATGTATGATGTAGGTTGGCTCCCCACTAGAGGAAGTGACGACCTGGTAAGTGATGCAAGTGGTTCAGGATAGAATAGAATATTTTTTTAATTATTTATTATAAGCCAGTACTTGAGCACAATCCCACCTGGTGGTGAGTGGCGATGCAGCCTTAGATGTAAATCGCAATGTCTTAACGTAACAAAAGCCTATTCACTATTGCTTTGAAGACGCCCAGATTGTATTCGGACGGTAAAATAGGCGCCGGTAAATTATTACACTCCTTTGCTGTACGTTTTACAAAATAAGAAGCAAAGCATTTAGTTCTAATGCGTGGAATATCGACAACTAAGGGGTGAATACCCGCCAATCTGCTCTGGTTGTCCGATAGTGAAAAGGATAGGGAGGAATTAAAGCATGTAATTCCTGCGCACACTCACTGAAATGCATCCTATAGAATACTGAGAGGCAGGCTCTGCGCCTGTACTTGAAACTGACAATATTCGTTTCGACCAAATCAAGGTTACCAATGAGTCTCTTAGCACGTCTTTCCACTGAATCCAATGCTGCTAGGTGGCATTTTGCAGCACGTGCCCAAATGTGATGGCAGTACTCCATGCACGACCGGACTTGCGCTTTGTATCAGGTAAGAAGCTGGCCCGACGTGAAGTACCGCCGCACCCTTACATGGACACCTAATTTCCCTGCGGATGCTTTGGCTTCTGACAGATGGAGAGTGCATTGGAATTGCATTACTTAATTCCTTCCTCTCATTTGCATTATCAGACCACCAAACATTTAGCTGGTCTCCTCCCGTTCATTTCCAAAACACCACACTTTCGAACCAATTGCTTTGCTTCTTATTTCATAATGTGTACAGCAAAAGAGAATATTTTGTTTTCGTAAGAGTGAATAGAATTTTGTAAAGCTAAGTAAGGGTGCTTTACCATTTCTAGCTGCACCACTCCCACCATCAGGTGGGATAATAAAAGTACTGGCTTATAATAGCTAGAAATATATATACTTACGGCAATTATCATGATGAAATTATCCAGAAACCCAAAGCCAATAAATGGCACAGAATTTGCTAAGGATACTGTAAAATAAAGAAAATTATACATGAGATAATGAAAAATAGGGCCATAATATACTACATTAGGACATCAACAGTGGCGAAACCTCCATAGAAGTCGAAAAGCCAGGCTTGCCTTTTCAATCTGCTCAATCAATAATATCCACTAATAAAATAACTCGTAAACTGTTTCAAACTATTTCAAATTTCCAGCGCGCTCCTCTGTTCTAGACAGGTGATGACCTCGTAGCATATATGTAACGTCAACACTTGGCTGTTTGCTTTCAATTCGAAATACACTGCTTCGTGTTCTGTCTCAAAGCGAACACGCAATGGATTGTCAAAATTTATGAAAAAAGGAGTTGATTTAGTCGTCATTCTCGCACGCGTTGGTTTTATCGGGCTTTCGAGAAGACGATCGCTCCCTTTCTAACCTGTGGCAAAATGTTCTATAATGAAATATAACTACGAAATGTTTATATAGCAATTACTATGGAACCAAAACCTGGGCTTTGCTCAAGTTTTTTAGGAGTGCGCGGGCGTGCGGGCGATACGTTTGCAAGTTCACTTCACATTTCAATGGTTTATGTTGTATCTGTTGAAAATTTATGCTTTTTCAGAGATTTTTAGTGAACATGGAGTAATATTGGAGTATATAGTGTACATCAGTGTAGTATATATGGAGGAGTGTTCCTTGTGATGAATTGAAGTGTGTTAAAGTGGTAATCGGTGAGGAAAAGGTAAAATCTTTAAACTTTGTTGAGAAAATAAACAAGGTCAAGGGCGTCTTTTGGACTTATCAATTATCGCAATTGAAAAACAGTTATTGGTACAATTAAAACTTTCACCAACATTTTACGCGGACGTAATCAAATCTTTCCTTAAGAAAGAGACCATTCAATTTAGAATATAAATAATTTGTTTTTTTAATAATGTATATTGTTTGTACTTTGTTCATATATAATATTATATGTAAAAATCTTTTTCTTTCGCTCAAGCAAACCCAAACGGCATTTTCCAAAGCTACCGAAGGTACGCAATTGCTGATATATCAATCTATCAAGCAGTAGTATGCTTCTGTGTGCTTTGTTAAACACATCCTCGACAGCACTGAATATGAAACTGAAGAGTGGAGACATCAAGATTGGTGTATTTATATAAAACTGCTAAAAACAACAAAACCATATCTTGGGCTTGCCCTAGTTTGGAGCCCTAGCTTCACCACTGCACATCAAAGTGAATAGGCATGCTTTTACAATGTCATTATGCTCACTTCTATAAAATTATTTTAATAGAATAAGGACGATAAACAAGCACACCGTCTACCTGATGGTTAGTGGATGCAGTGATCCATAGACATCCACATTTATCCTCAAGTAAGACCGAAAATGCAGATGAGTTTTAAATGAAACTAAATTTTCAGACTTTATTGTGTTTAATTTTAACTTTATTCACCATATTTCGGGTGCATTACAGAACCCATAGGGAATTTATCATTAGGGGGGGACTGAGGTCTTTGATATTCCGATGTCATAGTTAGCCCGGCTACCTTCATCTGTCGAGTATAAATTTTTGGTCAGATCTACACAGAATGAGCTTACAGTATCTTGAAGTCTAGCAGTGGTATGCTTGGGCTTGGATTTAATTTTGTTAATTATAGGATCCCAATCAGATGGTAGCACCCATCTATCATCCTATTGAAATTAGGATATTTTTTAATTTCAATAGCCTCGCAAATCTCTCATCCTTGGTGTCCTTTTGCAAGGATTTGTGGGCCATCAAATCTAACATAATGGTAGGGACAATTTTAAACATGTTCACAAACTGCTGGCTTTTCGGAAAATCTGTGCTACATAAGACGACATTAAGCAGATATGCCACCCCTGAGGACTAAGATGGAATGCTTGTTTCCAGTAAAAAGTGTTTCCAGTTCTATACACTCACCATATGAGATACAGCAGTAACTAGCCGCTATTTTGCACTGGTATTCTGTGAGTGCGGTCCTATCCTGGTCTAGTCAACCCATTTGTGCTACAACCATAATATAGCTGCAGCACGGCTCTACCACATATATTGATAAGATAAGATGGCAGATTCTATACAATTTTTTATATTATTTTTAATATGAGCATTTACAGAACATATTCACTTTGAATAAACAGTCATATTTAATTTTTGTACATTCAGATGCTCGAAAACAATATAAAACACTGCATTTTTAAAACTCATGATTTTTAAATAATATATAAATTTGAAATAGTGTAAGTAGGTATGACTAAAAAGGTTTTCTACCATATTCATTTGTGTAAAATTTTTATTTCATCATCACTTAGAACACTTATAGCAGCATATTAAAATAATGTGAGACCTTATAATGTTTGCAGCACCCAGTCTTGCAATGTTAACAAATACTACCTTCAACTTTTAAATATTATAAGTAATATGAGGATGCTATAAAGGGGCAATTTAACTTAAATTCCTTAACAAAAATGTGTTAATCAAGTAACATAAAAACTTACAATGAAACAGCTCCTTAGTAGTTGGTTTTGGCACTGTAGCAGCTGTAAAATAAATTAAAAGTTAACATATACTTTACTTTTCAGACAAACCCAAAAATCACAAAGATTTACTTTAATTAATTGAACCCATAAAAGTAGTATTACGGGCTAATGTTGATAAAGAAACAAATACATTTAATTTATAATATGAAATGACTCATCGATTAATAAATAGATGACACATAAAAGATTATTGTGTGAACTTACCATATTTTTTCTTAAGCCAGTCCTCAGGTACTGGACAATAAGTTCCCGTAGGATCAACATCTCCTAATGTTGGCACCTTACTAGGTCTGCCTAGCTTAGTTCTCCATCTCTGAGCAGCCAGTTTATCTATTAACATATATTATGTTACAAGTACATAGTTCAATTCATGTAAAGGGAACATTCATATTACAATACCTTCGAAATCTTCCTTGATACGATTAGATTCGTATTCTTGTAAGGCATTAAGCAATATCTTCCTTTCCTCGTCATTTAAATGCAAGACAAGTTCAGTAGCGTGTACTTTTGTTAGTGGACCTGAAATTTGGGTCGGCTCCTCAAAATCTTTTGAAGTAGGTCCTAACCCTAATTTACGAATATTAAATATAGCTGGAGCTATGTTTCTTAACTTTGAAAATCCCACAGTGGTGCTATACCGTGCTTGAAGTTTGTGTGGTCTTATGTGACAACAAGAATTAAAATAAACAACAGATGGCCCACAAAATCTTTTCATAGCTTGTATTGACATCATATTTAAAAATACTGAGCCAAGTCAGAATAAAAATACAAAATCGAACTAGAAAAAAATAGAGTTATTCCTTGATCAAAGGAAAGAGTCAAACTTCATATTTATCATATTTTTTCGACCTCTTTGGACCTCTTGAACGTATTAAGTTTTTTTACTGTTTTTTACTGTCACTGTCAAACACCATAGATAAACGTAGTGATTAAATCATAGATAAATAAATATGTAGCAAGCCGTAGACAGAGAAACCTATAGACTAATGATTAGCGTGGCCACGAGTGAGAAATGACGATAACGTATTTTAGGTTATACAATAATCTTTATGACTTTTAAACACAATTATATAAAAAAATTAATTGTTATAAGAACTGAACTGAACAAGATTCACCAACCTTAAGCTCACAAAACACTTTTTTCTCACTTAAACCATCTTGTAAACTCCTTAGATCGCTACGAACTGTCAAAGTTGTTTAGCAAAGTGTAGTTTGCTAAACCAAAAAACCAGCACGGAGAAAGGGACAAACAATTACACCGCTCTGTCTCATTTCTATGCAAGACGTATGCATAAATCTATCTTTTTCGTGTGCGAATGCGAAAGAAGGTGTCAATTTGTCTATAGGTTTCTCTGTCTAGACAGAGAAACCTATATACATTGAGTACGTAGCGATCTAAAGAGTTTACAAGTTGGTTTAAGTGAGAAACAAGTATTTTGTGAGCTTAAGATTGGTGAATCTTGTTCAGTTCAGTTCTTAGAACAATTAAAATTTTTATCTAAATATATTTAAAATTTCTCAAAAACTCATATTTGCGCCATTTACTAAATTCGGCTGCCTCTGATGCCACCCCGGCTCTAAAAGAGGTACCATTGAGATGAGAAGCCGCCAAAGTGTCAACGCAATTAGCATCCCACACTAAGGCTTTACCTCTCTCCCAAGAGACCAAAGCCATACCGTCGGGTCTCTTGACATTGTATCTAAATATCCCGCAAGGCTCCAAAATCGAGGGTATATTTATGGAGACAAGAGCCCATCGGATGACTTCGTTCAAAAAACCGTGACGGGAAAACCTACCTGCACTTTTCTTGCATAAGAGTCTGTGGAGTCAAAACTCATCGACGCTGCAACCACAGGGGCACTGATGACGTTGACAAATTGCCTCCCCAAGCCGGATTCCTACGGCGATGCGCAAGCTCTGCCCATCAAGCAATGTGCCGAGATTACTTGATGGTAGAGCGTGTAGACAGTGACTAGATTCCTTAGTCGAATCAGCTAGAATGCGAGCCTGATCTTGTTGACTGTGGAAATTTTGAAATAAATTTTTCTGGACAATCCGTACCAACGGAATATCCCACTGTTTTTGTTGGTTAACTTCCAGACATTTTCGCCGGGACAGAGCGTTAGCCATGTTTGCCTTGCCTTCGCAGCAGAGCACAGGTCTAATTTATTATTTAAAATTGTGTTACATAAACCATTGACACTATGCACGGAAGCAAGGAAAGCAGGCAGTGCGACGCTAGAAATGTTTCTTACTCCAATACCACCAAATTTGATAGGTAAAGTGGCTTGATTCCAGGCTTTTGTATTTAATCTCAAATTTAGAATTTTTTCCAAAGCAATTTTAAGATTACTATCAATATCTTTTAAAATATCCGAACATTTCCAGACTAGACTTGAGCGTAATAAGTATGTAAATTTAGGTACAAGGAGACAATATTTTAAAATGTAAGGGCAATATGGGGGTTTAAGATATATAATTTATCAACGTGATTTAAAAATTGATCAAATTTTGTTTTTAAAACAGGTTTAATACTATCGAAAAACAACGGAGCACCGAGCAGGTAAAGCGATTCCGTATTAACAATTTTTATTCCGGAGAAATCCGATTGAAATTTTGAATTAAGGTATCTCTGGTAGAATTAGGTAATTTTTTTGGAAATAAATCTTTCACATTTATTGGTATTTCGTTAAAGACCAATATTTTCAAAATTTTGAAAAATATGAGTAACTTCACTGAGGACATCATCTGCTTTACCTCCCAGTGTACCGTCGTCCCGATACCATACATTCAGCTTGGATTTTAAATTTAAAATAATAGGCTGAATCCCCAAACTGAAAAGAGCTGGACCTAATGGATCACCCTACTGAACACCGACAGCAGACTCAATAATATGGTTTTGATAAAACAAGTTCGAATTTTGACTGTAACTTTGCCAAACGTAATGATAAATTTCAGGGGTATTGTTAGCTACTGCTTTCAGCAAGGTTATCCTATATCTGCATTAGAATTTGTTAAGAAGGTACGCACTGAATGTACCGCCGCCATACAGCCACCTTTGGTGCCAAAGCTTAGTTGAGTAGGTTGAAATTTTGTTTTAAGGTTTCAGATTATGTGCCTGCAAGCTAATTTTGAAGTTAAGCGTCGAAATGTGGAACCAACAGCAATAGGACGGATACCGTTATCCTTTTTTTGAATGCACACAATCTTGCTCCATATAAGTAGGGAATTGACATTACCAGAAAGCATTAAATGACATAATTTTGTAATGTCATTAAGAAGTACTCTACCGGTGTCACCAGCATGCAATGCCGCCGGCAGAGCCATTCGAAAATCACAAAATTATGTCTAAAGTGTCTTTTTCAGAAATTTGTAAAGGGTGCATAGAAGTATTGGGAGGCTGTGGTAAATTCTGAGAAGGATTGACCGAAGAATGTTTCTGACGAAGGCCTTCAAGAGTTTCGACATTACGAGCAGCGAAGATGTCGTCTGAGAATAGAATACGGGTAGCATTTTTTAAGTTGCCATCCATTACTTTCGATTCAACTATTTTTTAAGTCAAATTAGGAAACGGGTCGAGATAAATGAATATTAATCGGGTAATCTAAATTTTGAAAAGAATTCTCTTTTAGTTGAGACGTAATTGATTTATTTATTGTTTTATTAAAATGAAAATGGGAACACGCGAATGTAAATAATGTTTGCCAACTCTTTTCACAATTCGTAAGACAATTTTGAATAGTGCATAATATAATTGATAATGCTTTAGCAAGTTGCATCCTCGCACCTCTGGGAATTCTTTTAACCACTGGTACGTTACTATAAAAATTGTACAATTGTTCCGAAAAAAGTGAAAAATTTGTTTCATTATGGATATTACTAGAAGAGTCGGAAATTTCTACGGTAGGCTGTGAAGCCGAAATACTTTTACTATGGCATCGTTTAATGTGTTTTATTTTATATATATTAATTAAATATAATCCCTTTTTACCTTTAAACAGCCTACCATCGGTACAATTTTGACACCGTAGCAAATCCGGCTGTGAATGTATCGGAGCGTTAGTATTCTATGAAAAATTAAAAAAAAAGTAAATATATAAAAATATATCTACACCACTCAAAAGTCTATAATTTAGTATAAATTAAAATCTTGAGAATAAAAAATAAAAAACCTAGTTATTAGAATATAATAAACAAATTTCATCCTTAGGTTGGCCCCTCTTTTAGTAAATTTTAATTTTTATCCCTTAAATTACATTATTTTTACTAAATACTTTGCTTGAACCACTGATCTCTATATATACAGAGGTCAGTGGCTTGAACGCTATTGCGCCCTCCTTTCTGCCTTGCGCCCTCCTTTCTGCCAAGGAGGGTCGCGTTCGTATACGGCTTAGAGATCTCTAGTCAGATCGTTAAGCCAATTCCTAAAAGGCGGTGTTTAGTGGGTAAAAGTCTCCATATAACCACGCAGCCGGATGCGTGGTATGCTATGAGCATTCACCGCCTCCCTCCCCCGCTTTCCAAAGGGTTGCCCATATTTGCTTCGGGCGCATAAAAAAAAAATAAAAAAAATTGAACGCTATTGATGATTGTTTGATCATAAATACCTTGTTTGAAACAATCTACTAAAATGGGAAATGGCATTAGGAATATAAAATAAATTAATATAATATATCCAGTCTTGTCGCGTACGTAGTCGCATAATACGTGTTTAACGTGAAAGATGGTGAGAGTTGTATGTCTTTCTACACAATGTCTGCGAATGTAGTAAAATGTAATAGCTGTACTATTGTCATAAGTGAAGTTTTGACATTTATTCAGAATCCAGTAGATGATAATGAATGGAGAAAGCATAGTTCGCTTCTGTGTGCAACTGTTGCAAAAGATTTACTCCATCAATCAGTGCAAACTTCAGGAAAAAAGATAAAGATAATGGGCAAAGCAGATGGAAAAATACAACGGGATCTCAAGGACATTATCTCCCTTATCAAGTGTACATCAGCAGAACTAATCCCCGCATTCGTAGCCCGAAAGCTACGAAAACTACCACCATTTGACCATGTCGATGTAACGAGATTATTGAAAGACATAATTATCCTAAAAGATCATTTCAAGTTATTTTATTTTATTTTATTTTTATTTTATTTTTATGTAATGGAAAACCAACAGCTTACAAATCTTAAATAAACAACATGTTAAATTTACAAGAAGCCAATAACAGGTTCTCACTAATAGAAATACACTAAGATAATTGTTAGCGACGACAAAGTGAATTCGAACATTTAATCTTAATTATTTCTTATCAGTGATTTAAAACTAAGTGATAGTATTTAATCTTAATTGTTTCCTATTCGTAAAATAAAGCTAAGTGTAAAGACTGATTAGTGCTGAAAACGGGAAAGTAAATTAAACACTTCTATTCTTATCTTAAAGTAACTTATATGAATCTATTTAATATTATTTAGGTCTGATTAGAACATTAGACGCAAGTATAAGCTTATTTTCTAGTAAGATTTCTTTTATCATAACTTTAAGAGCTATTAACATATAGGTGATTAATGTAATTCTTTTTACTTTAAAGTAATTCAAAAGAAACATTAATATGTCAATTAATCACTATATAATGTCATTTCATTATGAGACAGATTTAAATTTTATGTAAAAATATTGTATAGATTCTTAAGCATTAATCCTGAAAAAAAGTGTTGTACATT